ACCTTGTTGTTAGGAGCATGTGCTCTCACCAGCTGAGCCATCCTGCCACCTGTTGGCAGCTCAGCTTGGGCACAGCCCACTGGCCCATGTGGGAATCGAACCGGCAACCCTGTTGCTCAGAGCTCACACTCTTAACCAGCTGAGCCACTCAGACATCCCTGGATTCGTTTTGATAACCAAAAATATCTCCAGACATTGTCAAATGCTATCTAGGAGGGAAAAAAGTCACTCTGTTGAGAAGGTAACACAACTAGTAAAAGACAGGATCCAACTCTGGCAGCCCACACTGTATTCACAGCCCTTTGCTCTGCTTTCCTTGATGTTCATTAGCAGTAACTTCTGGGAACTTGAAGGGCTTTCCTATGTCGTTGTCCCAAAATACAGGAAGGTCTAGGCCATGATTGGGCTAAGGTCAGAGAGATCAAAATGGAATCCACCCACCACCACCACTCTTCAATCTTATTTTTTCTGTGTCATCTAGTTAAGTCACAATGCAATTCTGCCCAGGACGCTCAGAGTGCCTCCTCTCCCCTAACCCTTTATATGGTTCCAAGTAAGTCCCACAAGGACTTTTCAAAGCCTGTGGGCTCTGATGCTACTGTAATCCCTCTGGCCTAGCCTCCTGCTGACCTCTCAAAGCTGTTTCCTTGGTCTTCCCTGCTCCCAAATGCCCTGGACCTTACCCAGTCTGGACTCACAGCTTGTCCTTGGGCCTCCTTGCCCATCCTGCCTAGAACGCCTTCTTGGGTTTCCTTTCCATGTTCAACTGCACAGCCCTAGCTAAGACTAAAACACAAGAGGTCCTGCTTGACTGAATGGAGAGCTGGGGTAACACACACTTAAGATTGCAAGTCTTATGAGATTTCATCAGGATATACATGTCACTGCTAAGTAGATCTTGGTTCTTGCCAGGTAGTAAAGCCCATGTAAAAACAAGAAGGAAGGAAGGAAGGAAGGAAGGAAGGGAGGGAGGGAGGGAGGGAGGGAGGGAGGAAATAAAATCCAAGCTACAATTTTTCATTGGTTTTTAATTTGTTACCTTTTTGTCAGGATCGATGCACAATGTACTTTCAAACTGGCACTGGTGAAGCCAGTGCCCCATGCGTTGGATGTCCTGGTCAGACCCTGGCCTGTCCTTCTTTACACACATGAGGAAAGCCTTCCGCTTGCCACTCAGGTCATAACAGTCCTGTTTTCCAGCAACGCCAAGAAATAATATTTCAACCAAAGCACATTCAGAAAACCAAATACACCATATACTGGTGACCCTTGGACAACCCGGGGGTTAGGGGCACCGACCCGAGCAGTCAGGCCTCAGCATTCACATTTATGAATTCCCAACCGTCAGCCGACCCTTAAACAACGTGGGTTGGAACTGGGTGGGTCAATCCTGATATGAGTGGATCCATGCAGTTCAAACCCGTGTTGTTCAAGGGTCACCTGTATATGAAATGATGAGTTTCTTCTGGGATTAGTGGGAAGGTTTCCCAGTTAGAATCAGGGGCACAAAACTGATTGGCGGGGAGGGGCAGGGAGGCGAGAGTTGGTTTATAATTCTTTCAAATACCTATCTCAGACTTGGACTGCTAGGCCAAGCTCATTAAATTCATATATACAGTAAAACTTTGGATTGCAAGTCACTTGGTTTGCGAGTGTTCCGCAAGACGAGCAAACATTTTCAATACATTTTAACGTGGTAAACGAGCGATGTCTTACAATACGAGTAGTTTGTTTCCAGAACGAATCATGCTCGCAAACCAAGGTATTACTATATAGTACATCACTACCAGTTTAAGGATGTAGAGCTGATACAGGGAAATGGTTAATGACAACACAAGGCTGCAGCCATCAAAATCCAGAATGTGGGGCATTCTACAGGACAAATAACCTGGCTTCTTCAACAAATAACTAGAAAAGGTTAAAAAAGGGAGAAGTATCATATACATCAAGAGTCTTAAGAGACAAAGCAATCAAGTGTAATTGTGTAGACCTTGTTTGAATCTGAACTCTGATCCAAACAAGTCAGCTGTGAAAGACATAGGATCCAGTTAACACGTTACGCGCCAAGCCTGTTTTGTCTTCCTTTCCGTTTAGCCCGTGATATCCGATTTCACCAATATGCTCTGTCTACAGTCAGTTGTCTGTGGTTCATGCTCCAGTGCAGTTAAAAAAATTTTTTTTTACCCGTAACAGTGACAATGTCAGTAGAAGAAACATGTGAAAGTGATTCAAGTGAAATTAGTTTTCCTAATAGAAGAATATAATTTTTTAAATTGTATATCATCAGTCACCAGTGACAGATGCGGTCCAAACAGAAAGTATAGTGTCAGTCACCAGTGACTGACAGGGCGCTTAACGCGTTAAGGAAACCTGAATGCTAGCTGCATCTTTGCCAAGATTAAAGGCTTTGCTTTTGTTTTTTGAGGTAGGATAAGGATATAATGGTTCTGTTTTGAAAAAAGTCTCAGAGATACATACTAAAGTTTATGTAAATGAAAGTGATATATCTGGATTTGCTTGCTTTAAAATAAGAGAGGGGAGCAGATGAAACAAGACTGGCCATTATTTATTATGTTGCTAATTGTAGAAGCAGGATTATAAGTATGGTGGGCTGAAAAGGAATCTTTTCTACTCTTTCTACTTTAGCATATGTTTAAAATATCCATAATAAAACTTTTTTAAAAAGCCAAACAAACAAAACCCTGCAGTCAGCAATTTACGTAGTTGCCTAAGGCAATGCAACCTATTCGATTTTTTCTCCAGAGCCTCACTTTCTTTGATTTGTAAAATGGAGATAAGAACAGTGCCTAGTTCTTCCGGTTAACCCATGCATAGTGGTTTTAACTGGCTGTTTCACTTTTACTGTTATAAACAGAAAGCAGTGAGATCTGACCACAAGGCAAGCACACAGGTATTCAGTCACCTTTAACTCAACAGGAACAGTATGCAAAATGTTCAAACAGTGGCTAAATACTCTTTTTACTAACTAGTGTAGAGTTGGAGTAAGAGTCAAGATATTTACCAATTCGCTTTCCACACAGTCAAAACTTCTCTTTAGAATTTTTCTTGGGATCACTGAATGAATTTTCATGAAAAGAGAACAGAAAAGAGCATTATTATTATTATTATTATTTTTTTTCATCAAGATCTGCTGTTGTCCCTATTAACAGGAAGCTCTCCCAGGAAACTCAATTATCTCTTATGTTTGGGCCCAGCAAGCTTCAATGGATCTCATTTTAGAACAGGTTCCTTGGATTAGGAACACCCCCGCCCAAACTCATGAGTCTGGAAACCTAAACCCCCTGAAAGCCCCATCAAGTTCAAGGGCAGAAAGACCCAAGCCAGAGATTTAAAGGACAGGGACTAATTGGCATTACTGCACACCCACTTCCTGAAGAGTAGGCCACAACATCAGTAAAGGGAAAGATGAACTAAAGGCACTAGACCCTATTGTATTTTTTTATTTAACATAATATCTTAGTATTGAATTCAAATACTTATTGGATGCCTACAGTGTGTTGCCATGACATCGTCTAGTTTGGATGATTCTGAGAAAGAAAAAAACCACTTGGCCAACAGTAAGTGACTCACAGTCTAAACGGAAGATAAAAGTGTGATACATAAACAATAGATCTGGGGAAGGGCAACGTAAGTGCTGTGCAGGTGCAGTAAATGAAGGGAGAATCAAAGGCTTAGTGGGGTCAGTATCCTGCCTACAGGACACGTTTGTGGAAGAGTACAGTTCTCATCCATTACAAATCGACAAAAATCAGCAACAGCTACATAACTCAAAACTCGACCAGAACATAAGCATGCTGACAGCACAGACCATCCACAGTATATTTTAATGTCTACCTCAATGCCTGTCTCCACTCACAAATATTTTGCCGTGTATAATGAGCACTTACCCCACCAAATTTGTGAGGGGAAAAAGAAGGATGTGCATTATACATGGGTAGTACTAATTCCATGTCTACATAAATGTTTTTAATTCTTTTATTTATGCTTATGAGTTAAAAGTGTAACTCTAGAAATCACAAACTTGCAACGACAAAGAGTTCTTGGCCTTCTATGATGCTCAAATATCCTAAGTTTGGTACATAAAATTTCCTGTACCTTATGTCTGTCCTTGTGTTTTGTAATTGTTTGTCATATAAAATTTCTTGTGCCATAATGTGTTCACGAATAAATGCTAAAATTCCTTTGTAGTACAAAAAACCAAATACCTAAATGTAAACAAATAAAAATTTGAATTAAAAAATTAAAACGAAAGATTTTTTTACCTGACCTTTTGGGCCAAAAACATGGGTGTGCATTATACATGAGAGCGCACTACACACGGCAAAATGCAGTATACACACACACACCAAACTGCAGGTGAGGGGAGCCCTAACCTCCCTCACCCTGTTACACATGGCATTTCTTGATCCTCAGCCACGTTCCCAGATTTATAGAAAATGGTTTAACGGTGTGCAAGGAAAAGAGGATCCCCCAAAAAACACACCCACTGGAGATGTGGCAGAGAGGATTCCCACACTGGGTTTCTCTCTGCATCATCTAAAAATCTTCCATATCACAGTCACTTGGAGGTCCTTGTTAAAAATGCATCTCAAGCCTGCTGAGTCAATCTGATGTCTGAGCCCACCCCAAAACGAACTAGTAGACCCTGATGGCTACTCTTCCACTGGACACTCGGATCCGAGCCTGGGCATGGTGCCTCTCCTGCCCGCTTACCCCCGGGCGGCCATCTCTCGCCGCAGGTTCACTTGGTTCCTCAACGCCTGCATCTTCCTTTCTCTGTTTTCCCCATCCCGTTCCCTCGCCGCTCTCCTGGGCGTCCAGCACCCTCTGGGGGAGCCCCGAGGCGGCGGGGCCAACCCCCACATTCACCTAGAACCCCCGACTTTTGTATCCCCCTCCCCCCCCACCTCCACCCCAGCCCAGGACTCGATGGGCCGCGGGGTAGTCTCCGCACTCACCCGGACTGTCGGCTGTGGGGTCGCTCTGCCAGCGCGGCAGCAGGTCGGCGCGGTGCAGCCGCTTCAGCACCTTGGTGAGGACGCGCGGCGCGGCCGGAAGGTAGTAGTGCTTGGCGAGCAGGGAGGCCAGCCCCGATACGGTCTGGCCCTGCAGCTCCAGCTGCAGCGGACTCACGCGCGGCTCCTCGTCCACCGTCTTGAGGATGATGCGGAAGCTGCTCAGCTCCTGCGGGGTCAGCACCTTCAGGGTCTCCTGCAAGCGCTTCTGCAGCTCCTCCATGGCCCGTGTGATCGGAGGCGCCCTGGGGCCGTGGGACCGCGAGCGTCAGCGGCTCCTGGGGCTTCCCTCCATCGTCGCCCGACCTTGCCGAAGCTCCCAGGCCGCAGGGACCAATCCAAGGAGGTCCCAGCAAGCGCGCCTCGCACGCCTCCCGCTTCTCCTCTTTGTTTTGAAAAAAGGAGGCGTTTCCGCTTCACTGCAGCAGCTCGGTCGCTGGCGGCGACCTCTGCCTGGCCGCTCCGCCTTCCCTCTGCTCGGCCCCGCCCTCACCCACACTCTCTGTTCCCCCCTCGCGGTTACGCAGAGGCTCTGCTCCCTGCGCCATCACACCGAACCCTTGCTTAACCCTTGGAGCTCGGGTTGAGGGAACTGAGTGGTGAATCCGGCCCGGCAGGGTTCCTCCGTGGTTCTCTGCCCTGACTGCGGGTTAGGGATCACTTGGGGGGAACTTTTAAAACTCCTTGTGCCCAGGCCAGTCTAGGCTTACATCAGAATCTCTGGGTAGCCGGCCCTGGCATCAGTTGTTTATAAAGCTCTCCAGATGATTCCAACGGGCAGCCAACCACTGACCTTGGACTCCAGTGTTTATCAGCTACCTAAGCCAGTGGTTCCCAAAGAGCGAGAACTCGGAAGCTGAGATAACAGTTAGAGGGTGTTGCATTGAGGCAGCCCAATTTTTTGAGAGGGCGTGGTGCCGAGCGCTGAGTTTTGAAACTGTCAGCAAACTAGAAATGCGCATTCAGCCTGGGGGGGCGTGTAAGCGGTGTTGCCTTGGTGAGCAGAGCTCAGCTTGGAAATCCCCCAAAGTCATTGCTAGAATCCCTGACTTGATTAGGCCCTCATCATCATTGTTTGCCCCCCAAACTACTTAACCGTTTGAAAAGCTGAAAGAAGCTCAGAACCTGTTTGAATCCTGATTCAAGTAAACCAACCATAAACATTTTGGGGACAATCGGGGAAATGTGAATATGGGCTGGGTATTGGAGGATATGCAAAAAGTTAACTTTTTCCAAGTGGAATAATAACATTGCAGTTATGTAAGAAAGATGTCCATAGTTTTTAGAGATGCGTATTGAAGTATGGAAAAG